GAGATAGAAACATTAATGATGAGAGAGAATCATTGATCGGCCGCCTCGTGCACGCCCCCTACTGGAGATGGAGCCCACAGCCCATGCATGTGCCCTTGGCCAGAATTGAACCTGGGAATAGAAGCTGGGACCCTTTAGTCCACAGGCTGATGCTCTATCCACTGAACCAAAATGTCCAGGGCTGCATGATTCCATTTATATGACATGTACAGAATGGAAAGACCCATGGAGATAGAGAATAGATTAGGAGTTGCCAGAGGCTGGGAGCAGGTGGGAATGGGAAAGAGGTGACCATTAGTAGGCACAGGGGTGATGAAAATGTGGAATTAGATGGTTGGAATGGTTGCACAATCTTGTGACTCTACTAAAAACCACTGGATTGTACACTTTAAGAGGGAAACTTTATGGTATGAATTATGGTTCTGAAGGAATCCAGATTGAAGATAAGTGCAAGGTTACTGCCTTTGCTGTCAGTACCGGCCCCAGCATACTTGTCTGAGAATGGCCTCCTCCCAAGGACTTAAGTTTTTGTTTGTTTCTCCCCCCCTTCCGCCCCCCAATTTATATCTACAGTCTCTCTTGGCAGCAATAGGTCCCTGGGTGCCTCTAAGATGTTTTATCGGTTGGAATCCTCATTTCCTCTCTTTGTCCCCATTATACAAGCCCTGGCAGTTTGAAAGGTTATAAGATACACACTCAGGTTAGCTCAAGTGTGGGGTTTAGCATAGGAAGCTCAGGAAACCTCATGGGATCAGGGACATTGGTCAGAATGTAATGGCAGCTCCAGCAACCTGGACATCATGTTTTTGGCCCTTCCTCTGCATCAGCCTCTTTTCTCTGCTGCTTGCGTGTACCCCACATCCGTAGCTCTCCAAAAGAGAGGCTCTGATTGGTCCACAGAGCCCTTTTTGACTGGAGTTCCTGAAGAGTGCACACATTGGCAAGATAGTTCCTTACACAGGGGCCCTCTGGGGCTGTGTGGGGTAGGAAATGTAAAAGGCAAGGGTGAAACATTGGCTAGCACATCGGGGGAATACACTGTCTAGCAAATCTGCCTCCATAATAACTAAACAGCCCAAGGTTCGTAGAAGCCATGCCTCAAACCCCCACCGGTTCACTGAGTGCCCTTTACATGCCTGGCACTGGGAATATAGTCACACGTGTGACAGAGGGTAGAGGACACGAATAAGGACAGCCAGAGTTCTCTCGGAACTTACAGTTTCGTGAATTTTACCACGGATTTGTTAAACATACAGTAGTCTCCTCTTATCCACAGTCTAGCTTCCCACAGTTGCAGGTACCTGTGGTCAACTGTGATCTGAAAATATTAAGTGGGAAATTCCATAAATAAATAGTTCATACGTTTTAAATTGCATGATGTTCTGAGTAGCGTGATGAAATCTCTCTCACCGCACTCCATCCAACCCAAGATGGGAATCATCCCTTTGTCGGTGTCTCCGCACTATACTAGTGTATGCTTCCCGCTCATTCATTAGTCACTTAGTAGCTGTCTTGGTTGTCAGGTTGACTGTTGTGGTATCGCAATGCTTGTGCACATGTAACCCGTATTCTACTTAATAATGGCCCCAGAACACGAGACTAGCGTGCTGGCAATTTGGATATGCCAAAGAAAAGCCAGAGCTTCCTTTAAGCGAAAAGGTATGTATGTATAGGAGAAAACATAGTCTATATAGCAGCGGTTCTCAACCTGTGGCATTAGTGAGGAGCAGGGGTTGGCAGTGGGGAGGAGGGCACATTCCAGGGATGTCCAGTGGCCCTGGGGTGGAAGGGACCTTGGTGAGGCTGAGAATATGGCAGATGGAACAAGGGGAAGAGTGGTGAGAAATGAGGTTGGAGGGTCAACCAGGGCCCACATCACATGGGGCCTTGAGGGTCACGGCTCAACCCCATTTCTGTGACATTGACTGTGTCCACTTGTGGTTTTAGGTCCACAGATCCAACTGTCCAATCATCTGCAAGGGCTGCAGAAGAACCTTCACGAATCACCTGTCACAGGGGCTGAGGCGCTTTGGGCTGTGTGACAGCTGCACCTGCGTTGCAGACACACATGATGATGAGTACAGTTTGATGCCCATCAACCTTAGCCTGGTGGAGGCTTCATCCGAAAGCCAAGAAAAGAGTGACACAGACAATGATTGGCCAATCTATGTGGAGTCTGGTGAGGAAAACGACCCCACCGGAGAGGATTCTGACGACAGACCACCAATCCAGCCCAACCTAACAGACCGAGAGACACTCATGTAGCAGTAGATTCGGGGGAAGAGGTTTTGGAATTTGTTATTGCTCATTCTGTGGTTGAACCCTGAGACGAACATTTTCTTCAGTGTCAATATATTTGCATTTTTGTTAGATGACCTAGTAGAGGTTGGATTTTGTGACTCAAAGGACTAATGAGTTTTTAGTTTGGTGCCCTTGATTTCTGAGGGCTTTGCTGACCTTCCTTAATTCTGAGTGAATAGGCCGGCCCTCAGGCTTCCTGTTTGGCCTGTTGTGCACCTGAACTCTGGTTGGGAGAAAGATAAGAAAACCCCCATGCTTGTTTTCATAGTGTCTCAATCTCTGCATTCCTTTGGGGTCATCCTCTTTTCTCTGAAAAGGTGGGCCAGAATGTATTAAGTTTTGAGAATAATTTTACCTCTGCCAGCCTCTCCTAATGAATTCCATATTCCAATTTTCCGAAGTACTTAAGAGAAAGCTTTATTGATACAAGGCAGGCGGGACTGCCTTAGACATGATTGTAAAAGCTACTTTTCTAAATCTAAGACTGCAGCAGTAAAGCTGGGGGTGTTTGTGTGCATACAAGCACGGAAGTAAGCTCAAAGCCTTCTTCTGGCATTTTGACGTGCCCAGTAGACTTACATTTTAAGTTTGCCCCGGGAAGGGATCCTGTGAGCCCAGGCCTGGATGGTTTCCCTGCTTCGTTTGGTATTTGACAATTCTCTACACACAAATAACCTGTTTTGTGATCATAAAACAAATCATCTGGGCAAAACTAAAAATTCTCCCCTGCTTTTTCGAGCCATTTCCAAAGGCCACACTGCTGGAACTGTCGCTACCACTGACATTCTTTTACTTAGTTTATGAATGGAACTTTAATTGGAGGGAAAGTGTAAGCCTATCTAAGCAAGTTATATTTCTAAATTGCTTACCTTTTAAAAGATCTGCTGGAAGGAAAGAGAAGTTTGTAGAAGTACAGGTTTTTAAAACCAGTCTGCTTTTCCCCTCTTAGCAGCCATGCAATTATTCTAACAAAAGGCTGCACTTCTTTAAAGGGCTAAAAAGCAGGAAATATTAGGGATTTAAAATATTTAAGGCACTTTCATAATTTTGTCTTATGTTAAGGTATCCAAAATGGATTTTCAAAGAAATCCCTAATGAAACGAAGTATGCAAACAAAACAGTTTCCTTTGAACTTTGAAAAAAATAAAAGAAATCCCTTTTTCTTCCTTTAATTTAGAATAGTTATGTTTCAAAAGGTAGTAAAATCACTTTTTTCCTGTCTCTTAAACAAAAAGATCTTCAAAACATTATAAATTGGCTTGTAAATGCTAGTCATTGAAGAGTTCAAAGGTATTTAAACTACTCAGTAGAAGTTAAAGTTTAGCTAGTGTGACTCAAACTGTGGTCCTCACACGGGTGCTGGTCTGTGAGTTGATACCAGTCCACACAGCAGGACCATGTATTGGTCTGCAGTAGATTGGAAATTTTAAAATTGGTTGTTTGCCCTGGCTGGTGTGGCTCAGTGATTCGAGAATCAGAATGGGTGTGCTGTATTCCAATAAAACTTTACTTGCAAAAAACAGGCAGCAAGCAGGATTTGGCCCAACCTGTTTTAGATAGTACTTTTATTTTTTTTTTACTAAATGAAGTTAATGAGTCTTCAAACAGAAAATGTATTTAGTGTTTAGTGTTAGCAGTTCTGTATTATTATAGGTAATCTTTTTAAAATCTATAGGCTATAGCCCAGCAGAGTGGCTCAGTGGTTGGGTGTTGACCTATGAACCAGGAGGTCACAATTCGATTCCCAGGCAGCTTGATGCCCAGTCCGGGCACGTGCCTGGGTTGTGGGCTCTTGAGGGCTCCGTCCCAGGTGTGGGGCATGTGAGAGGCGGCCAATTGATGGTCCTCTCTCATCATTGATGTTTCTGTTTCTCGCTCCCCCCTCCCTTCCTCTCTGCAATCAATAAAAATATATTTTAAAAAAATCTATAGGATATAGCCCTGGCTGGCATGCCTCAGTGGTTAGAGCATCAGCCTGGGCAATGAAGGGTCTTGGGTTCGATTTCCAGTCAAAGGCATGTACCTGAGTTGCAGGTTCGCTTCCTGCCCCAGGTTGGGTGCCTGCGGGAGGCAACCAGCCTATGTATCTCTCTTACATTGATGATACCCTCCATCCCCTTTCCTCCTTTTCTCCCTCCCTCCTTTCCACTCTCTGAAAAGCAATGGAAAAAATATCCTCGGGTGAGGATTAACAGAACAAGAAAGAAAAAATGCTCTTTTACCACAGATAGTTTCAAAATTATTGTTCTAGATCAAGAGGTGCAAATTGAAACTTATTTAGGACCAGAAACATTTTTCTTAACCTAAAATGAAAATATTAGCTGTTGTTTTGATAGAGAGATCTTAGCGAAAGGCAAACCTAAATGGATGTGTAGAGGCTATACTTTACAAGGAGTTATGTTTGATTGTTTTTGCTCTCTCTGTTTAAAGTATTTTTGATATTTTAAAAGACTCTTCTACCTCACAATTTCACTTCTCTGCCTAGTTCCTCTGGTAGAGCAAGGAGCCTCTTCAGTGACCCCATGAGCTGTTCATATTACTGGGTGCAAAGTAAAAAAAATTTACATTAGAGATTTTATTGTAAGACAGTGATTCTCAACTGGGGGTGATTGTGCCACCCAGAGGAGATTTGCCGATGTCTGGAGACTTTCTTAATTGTTACAACTGGGGCAAGGAGCTGCTAGCATCTAGTGGGGAGAGGAAAGGATGCTGCTAAAATCCTACAATTTATAGGATGGTCTCTTACAACAAAGAATGATCTAGTCCAACATGTTAAGAGTTTAAGGTTAAGAAACCCCCCAAAAAGTAAAATTTTAAAAAATGACTTTGAGTGAAGTTAATTTTGTGTTATATTTTAAGCTACGCTACCTTTTACCTTTTTTTTTTTTTTTTTTTTTACCTTTTACCTTCTTAATATAAATAGACTCTTCCCTGGCCGGTGTGGCTCAGTTGGTTGGAGCATCGTCCTGTACCTTGAAAGGTCACGGGTTCAATTGGCCGTTAGGGCACATACCCAGGTTGTGGGTTCAATCCCCTGTCAGGGTGCATGTGGGATGCAACCAATTGAGGTTTCTCTCTCCTTTTCCTTTCTGTCTCTAAAAATCAATAAAAACATCTCATTGATTTTTTAAATTTAAAAAATATTAATAAGCCTTTATACTCCCACAAGTTTTGGAAAATAGTGGATTAGCAAAATAGCGAGTGGAGGCCAAATAATTCACAACTTGCCCATAACCTGATTAGGTCTGTGATACGGAAACTTAGGAATTCTGACTGAGACTCATATCCCCAGAATTACTCTAGGTTTTTATCATTTTATTAAATTTTAAAGTAGCAGAATCACTGGAAGGAAAACAGAACGTGAAGCTTAATATTTAAGTGACTCTCTTTTTCCATAATATTTTAGATTGTTGCATTCCTGTTCGGCTGTTTAGAGTTTGTGTGTTGACATTCATAGTAACTAGATCACTGAATTCTGTCACTTTTAAAGGAGATCTTTGTCTGGACTATCAGGTCACAGACTGTCCTGTTTTAAATTTATGTTCACATTTGGCGATCAGTATTTTTAATCTGCACAGTGTCTTTGAGGTGTAATTTGTGTTGTTGGTGGTGATATTTTTATAATAAGTAAATTCACAGTTGGGTCCAACACAGACTATTTGTGATTTAGGTTATACTCTGACATCTTTCTGGCACATCTGCCCAAGTTCACAAAGGATACTTTTATCTTATATCAGATATATTGCATGAAGGGGAATAGGATTTTTACTTCTAATGGAATTTAAAAATGGCATCCTTGGAAAGTTTCTCTTGGGGGAAGGGGTCAGGCTTTCATAGCAAGGGTTGGGAGGAATGTAAATAAGACCTATAATTGTAATAAATTAAGAAATGACATAGAGCATCATGACTTCTGGTCATTTGGCAGGAAGATGCCGTTCTGGTGTAAATATTTTGGTAGCCATTAGACTTTGAATATTCCGTAAGAAAATGACGGACCTAGCGGTCTGCAGAATGCCGTGGCATTGAGTGTTCTGGTGGTTCAGAATGCTGTGATGGTGTTTTGTTATTGTTGTTAATTGATGTTGCGACAAACCCCATGGAAAGGCAACAGGTAGGGCTCCAGGTACTGATTCTGAGGGCAGTGGGGAAGACTGGAGTAGCTTTTGGTCAGCTGAATGTACACTGTTTCATTTGGACTTCTAGGTTTTTATTGTGTGTCCCTTGTGCATTGACAATGGAGTTATCTCTGTGAGGGGCAAAGGGTTGGGTGGGTGAGAAATCCTGTTATACTCTGTTTTGAGTATTACCACTGTACTTCCTGTTGTTGGTCTTTTATAGCTTCTCTTGTGCTTTCATGTGATCACACTATCTTCTAACCCAAAAAAGGAGCACTTTATTCAGTTGCTTCTGATAGGCAGTGTTTTCATTCATTTTTATTCAGTATTTCCACAACATCCCTTATTACTATGTTCCTCAAACCTGTCATTATAGCGCTGAAAATTTGAATTCTTTTCTTCAAATAATGCTTCTGTAGAGACAAATGGGGGAAAAAAAGGCAGGAATAGTTTGGTTGGTTTCTAACATGTCCTAGTTTTAATTCACACTATTGTGATTAGATGATATAGAACCTTCCTAAGTTAAGGGGGACCTTCAGCAGAGGTAGACTTTCCAGGTAGGTAATTTTACTACTGCCAATTTTTCATTGACAACTGTGCTTTTGGGGAGCAATTTATATGTTCATCACTTGAGTTTTGAACAAGGAGACGACCCACATCAGGCAAGTATGGGAGTTATCCTGGCTCAAAAAACCTCTTGTCCCACGGGAGCAAGTATCTTTTCTAACAACTCCACAGTCATAGCTTCTAGGGTCCCGAAAGAGACAAGTTTATTCCAAGAGTCACTGTATTTAGGGAAGCCCAGGGCTGTGGCTTCCTATCAGGTACTTACAGTTCTCCCAGTCTGAATGCAATTTACCAGTTAGGGGTCATTGCTACCATAGGTAACGTTCCTAGCAATATAGTTGACATACTACTCTTTCGTAGGTTGTCAGGGGAACAGAGCTAGGAAGTTAACCAGAGGTCAAATTCTCACACTGAAGGAGAAAAGGTTCTGTTAATCCTTTACCAAACAGTATGCTAAGCAATTGCACAATAGATAGTCCGTCTAGTTCCTATAAAATATAACCAGGGGAATTTCCAATTAAAATATAGCCAACACCGCCCCGCTGGCGTGGCTTAGTGGTTGAGCATTGACCTATGGACCGGGAGGTCACGGTTCCATTCCTGGTCAGGGCACTTGCCCGGGTTGCGGGCTTGATCCCCAGTGTGGGGCCTGCAGAAGGCAGCCAATCAATGATTCTCTCTCATCATTGATGTTTATATTGCCCTTTCCCTTCCTCTCTGAAATCAATAAAAATATAAAAATAAAATATAGCCAACACCAACTAACTTTTCCTCTCTTGAAGAGAGTTTATTCTATGTGCTTAGCTGCTTGTGATTAATAAATACACTGTTTGCAAATTTTGCTGA